TCGGGAAGTAAAACTGCCAGGAGAGATGGGGTGATGTTTATAAATGATAATCAGCATGCCGATCGATAGATGATGTAGCAATGAACACAGCAAATTCTCGAATTCGATGATGCATCAGGCAATCTTACCCATTAAACAACTGTAAAGCATTATTTGGATGAGAGAAGCTCAAAACAGAGAAGAATGGAGAAGTTGCCAGGTGCATCAATGGCGAGAAGAAACGCGACAATGAAACAACAGCTGCCACTGTTACCTATTTTTCAGCACATGAAAAGAGATGAACAATCTGAACTGTTAAGTGGTACCAATGCAATGTTAAACGAACACAGGAAAAGCCGCGAATGGGATAGAAAGACTAAATTTATATCTCCACCACCAAGCGGGACACCAGAGAATCGAATAAACAGGAGACGAAGGAACACCGCAAAACCGACCAAAGACACAAGAAGCAAAAAAAGACAAACAAGTAATAAAGAAATCACTACAAAAAGGCAGTATGGGCCTGAAGGGCCTTGTGAGGAAAAGAAGGGGCCGGAACAGCAGCTCCGTAGCTAAGGATATTACCCGGATGGGCGCCAAAACCCGTGCCTGAGATGGGAAATCGCCGCAGGCAGGGGAGGGGGAGGTAAGAAACACACAGCACTAATGCTGGACAGTACCATGTCAGCTCGAAAGACCAATGGACTGAACACTGTGAACATCCCGGGCGACGAATGAGAACAGCACTGGAAAATAGTTCAGCTTTGAAGAGAATTAGTGATTGAAAAAATTGAAACATTACTGGGCAGAGACTGAGAGAACAGTAATAGCGTGGCTTTCAGAGAGACGACACAGATTGATAACACAGAGAAGATAGTAAGGTATTAGAGGTTGAGAAAATCACAAGGGAATCACATGATTCAACAATAGCAGTGTTTGAGAGCAAATAGGGATTACGGCTTGCAGAGAAAACAGTGAGTGAGGAGGTTTGCAATAGAAATAATAGGCCAACGCACGGGCTGCCCGTGCGAAAGTGCGGTTTTTGCATAGTTGGCCGCAGCTTCTGTCACTACCGGCACCGGTTTTTCTGGCAAATGCTTCTAGTGAAACAAAATAAAATTGGCGGCCAGAACTATCAAAGAACACCCCCTAAAATTCCAGCTTTCTAGCTTTCCCGGCTCCTGAGTTAGCAACTTACTCGAAGAAAACTTTCACGAGCCCGTACGTGTATACCACTTATACCCGATGTCTGGGTTTGAGCTCATTGAGACTAACGTGAACGAGGAACACCCTCTTAAAATTACAATCTTCTAGCTTTTCAGGTTCTCGAGTTAGCGACTTACAAGCGAAAAACTTTCACAGGCCCGTACATGGGTACTACTCATACCCGAGAGCTGGGTTTGAACTCATTAATACCTATTTGGTCGGGGAACATCCTCTTATAATTTCGGCCTTTTAGCTTTTCAATTTCTCGAATTAACAGCTTACCCGGAAAAAACTTTGGCGGGTCTGTACGTGAGTACCACGCGGGTAAGAGCGCCCATTTTGGAGATGTGGGCCCGCACACGCATTAGATTAAGTTTCCCAAGTTTCAACCCCTAGCTTTTGTAGGTCTCGAGATAAAAAATGCAGCTATGAAGTGCACAAAACACGCAGCGCACACACAGACAACCTCTCATCAATATGCGTTTTCTGCATTTCATAGCTGCAAAAAACACTTAACAAATAGAGCTACTGAGAAGATTTGGAGATAGGCATGGATTGTAATTTTAGCGGTGACTGATTGGGCAGCAGAGCCGTAAACACCGAGAAAAATGTTAAGCTACAGATTGCTTTACATGCGGCGGGGGTGACAGTTCGCGACTGCCGATCCCAAATACAATGTGAAGACGCGACTGCCCACTCGATATGAGTCCACGTGTTAAGCTGTAATGCAGGAACTATTCATGTTTTTAATGACCTGATTCCTTCAAGTTTAGCATAAAAACGCTTTTGATCGCACCCGCAAGGTTGGTGCATCACTGCCTGAGTTACTATTGAATAAATGTAGCTTATGCACGGCTGAAGAAAATAATAGGCGAGCAGCAAAATAGACATACAACAAAAATCAATGTTCGCAATAATATTTCAAAAGTTTATTTATACACTGGAGTTCTAACAACTTCCGAGAGCTGAAACTCCAAAAACGCATCTGATGACAATGTAGAAATCGAAATAGTGGGCCACGAAGATGCCATCAAACTTGATATTTCATTTGTTTCGAGGTTATAAAAATTTAGCCCTCCAGTTTTAAGTCAAAATATAAACCCACCTAATGGCTGGTTTCATTTCCTGGTAAACACGAGAAGTATCTACTGGAGCTTTTACATTCATTGGATTTGGATTTGTATACCAAGGAAAGCATTGACTTTTTAACTCAGGCTGCAAAGTAATGTGGGGCTTCTTAGATTAGGACATAAATCTAATTTCCATTGGTCTTGAAGTAGAGTTTCATCTGGATTTTCTTTTACACGTTCTGAATATATTTTCCGACTCTAAGTTAAAAAAGTATCAAAAGCAACACGTGCATTTTGAATCAGCTTATTGAAGGACTCGATGACTGTTTTCGTTACTTTTAGGCTCATATGCAAGCAGCGAAGGTTTCTGCGCTGTTCAAGAATTGCAAGATCATTGATTTCATGGCACTGCAACGTGGATTAATTAGAAATTAGGGCTTTAAATTCTGAAAGCGACGAGAGTTGCTATTCGTGTTCATCTACGTTGCCGGTTTGACGACTAAAAACGTAGTCCGGCCTGACTCGGAGTTAGTGCTTATTTATTACAGCCTACCAAAAACAACTGTCGCTCACATGAAATACGTTTCCGAATTCTCAAGTTTACAGTTTCTTTTGATTTTAAATTTTAGAGATGATTAAAGATTAAGGTTTTTAGGAAAGCAACATAAAGCGACCTGAAAATTAATTCCATTGTTTTCCCTTATCTCTTCAAGATGAATCTGCAAGGTCTACTCTTTAGAAACACAATATCACGCGCCATTTGTTCACAGTCCTGGCTTTCTAGCTTTGTTGATTCTATAGATAAAAAATTTGCTCTGAATTACAACTTGATCCATTTGTGCACTTTTAATTCCATTTAAGCGTCTCTGGACTAATCAGAAAGATTTTTGCACAGAAAGGAGAATTCATTCAGCTAATTCATGCAAGCATTTAACGAATTTTTGTGTTTACCCAGATTTTTTGGTTAAATTTTTTGATTTTCCGTTCCCTGACGATTTTAATATTTGTCCAAACAGTTTTACTGTTTCGATTCTTTTTCAAATATTTCAACATTTTTAATGCTTGTCCTGCGAGCATTTTATCGGTGGCATTTGTTTCTGCTGTTACAATTTTTTATTTTCAATTGCACGTTAATAAACATAGACGTTTTTATTATTCGCAAACACTGTTGCATCTTGTTGTCCCTTGAGTTCATTAGCCACAACCTTGTTAATGGTGTCTTGAAAGGGAAAAGGAGAGGATGCAAGAGGAGGTTACTTTGGGTTGGTTGCTTACAGGATATTTGAGAAGTAATCTTATCTCAGAAACTATGCTCGTGAAAGTGCGGCGGGAGTTGATTTCAAATGCAAAATCGGCCAACAAAAAGGGGCTGACGAATAGACGCATCGATTTTTACTAGTCTCTTATTTGCCGTACTGCTTGTTTGTGTCCAACTGGGCCCAGGAGCTTAGCAGTTGCGCCTAGGCCGGTTCGCCCGGTCTTTTTTGTTTCGTTACGCGTTAGCATTTTTATTTCTATTTTTGAATTCACAAAATTTCGTGTCACCTTACGCTACTGCTAGCATCCAACCTCCACACCAGTTGTCCGGGCGATCCTGTCAGCCTCTCCTCATCTGCTCTGTAAATTCATTAAAGCACTCAAAAGCATTTTGCTTTCGATTTGTTCAGG